ATATACTATAGTATATATATAGTATATATATATATATATATATATTATATATATATATATATATATATATATATATATATATATATATATATATATATATATGTATTGGTATATAATACTCAGAATGATACTCCGTATGTAAGTATCCTATGAGCTGCTGCGTATATGATCCCGGAATATAGTTCCTGTGCGATATTAGAGTATCGAAAATAGAATGATTTTATCGGAATTAATTATTCATATAATAATTCCTAGTTTGTAGAGGAAGATCGCACAGTGTGAAGAAATTTTGATGATAGGACGACGGTGCGGTGTACGTAGCTTCTTATTCCCCTCCACCCCCACCTGCCTGCAAAAGGCTATGCTGTTCACAAAGTTTGATTTGATCTTCAATCGCGGTAATAAATAGGAATCATGATAAAAGACTATTTATGTGTATATAATGATACTCTATTCTGATGTGATTCTTCCGTCCTCGCAGATTGCAATTTATCATTTGACTTGCGAAGTATAAAGCATTTGTGTCCCACGGGCCATGGTCCACAGACTCCCAAAGACTTCCAATGAATTAGCAGTACTCGGGAAATATCAGACCACGTGCATACATAATACATATCATAGCCTTCTAAATAATACACATTTTTTAAATATATGTAACCCTTTTTTAAAGTGTTGTCCACAAGAAGCAAATGCATCGCCCATTGAATTTTGGCTTTCTACATTACAGCCCCCACCAGCCCTAGCCCCCAGGTCCCGCCCTCAGTCCAAGTCTCGTGGCCCAGAGATGGGCATCCAGCACAGCGTACACCTCACGGTAAATAAATGCCAAAAATTCATCAGGCTTTCTGCCCAAGCCGTGCGAGTTGCTATACCTGGCTACCAGCTGTTCAATACTATCAGGCGTCACGTGTCAGTCAGTGCCGTGGTCACTGGTCAGCTGACTCAGTGGTCACAGTGGTCACTGGTCACTGGTCACTGGCTACCGGTCACTGGTCAGTAGTCACTGTCACTCACTGGTCGCTCTGGGGAGTCTCGACTCCGACCTGGAGGCTGGATGCTAGAGTGGCTGATTTAGCCTGGGTTGGCTCAGCCGCTCTGGCCTTAGGGGCTGGATCTACATAGTTTGAGACTTTCCACTTTCCACTTTCCAAAGTTTCTTCTTTCCAAATTCCAAATTCCAACAACTTCTCACACAACTTCCAAGAACCAACATAGCCTTCTTCATAAAATCACTGAATCACAGACACTTCCACAGAAGAAGGTAAAATGAATACTTGATTTTTATTAAAAATTATTTGGCAGTATTTATTTGCAGTTTTGTCTAACATATTTGCAGTACATACTAAATACATACTGTATCTCTTGTTTTAATAAAAAAACAAATAGTGTTGTTTCTATAAAAAAAAGCCAAAACCAAATATCAAGCAACTGTTCGCGAGAGAGTCAGAGCCTCAGAGCCTCAGAGTACGTTCAATGCAATTTTGGGGGTATTCGGGGGGTATTGCGGGGCATTCGCGGGCCGCTGGGTTAGTTTAAAGTCCGTAAGCCGCCCGGGGGGCGTATCAGCGTCCAGCGATGCCGATAAGTCGGATGCGGCACAATTTTTTTTAGTCAAAAGGACAATAAATATGTGCTGGAGGCGCCGATTCAGTATAGATTTTGCTACTTCTGTACTCTCTGTAGACACTACAATTAGCTTTCAGGCATAACTATTAGAAGGCGGTTGTACAAAGTAACAAAATGTATCGCAACGCATAAATTTTATGTATCTAAGGACATGGACACACCAGTGCTCATCAAATGGTCCAATAGGAATTGGCCTAACTTTTTCGGTCTTGTTTCAATGTTTTTAACTGGATACGCATTATTCATACCATTTATATTGGTTTAGATATTGAAGCGGGCAGCTTTTTCATATTGCTTTAAAATTATTCCACAAAAAAGCACATACCTATAAAAAAAGGTCTATTTTTAAATACCAAATTTAACAAAGGGTATTTTTCAATTCATGTCGGTTATGATAGCTATGTTGGAAATTTGAAGGCTATAATGGTACGATTTTTAAAATACGACGGGTAGTATTTGGAATATAAAACACAACTACAAGTGCATATTTTAAATGCTAGGGTTTACTGCCTACTCTAAGGTTAAAAAAAGCTCGGCTTTTATTTTCTTGAAATAACTGTTGTTCGAAGTAAACTTCCTGTGACTGGATGAGCTGATGAAGTGATGATGAAGTTTAAAAAAAAAATAGTGATGTCTGATGACGGCTTCTGCCACTTGGAGATCAGTCAGATCACTGAGAGTCTGAGACTTAAGTCTGAGTATGCATATAGAATTATATATCCAACATTCGTACACATTTTAGCTGTAATCCTAAGCGTTACAACACACAACCCCATCGTCTACACCGTTTTATCCATAGTTGTACGCTACATCCAAACCCAACCTTACACAATACATATAGTACAGTAGTACGTATCATACCCGTTTTACAGCATACCCCCTTTCTCTGCGGTTGAGGGTGTAGTCAAACACGTTTTTACAGATTCTTCGCAATCGGTCAGCATATCGGTAATCAGTATGATCGCAATACCCGGTGGTCCGGGTGACAACGGAAAAGACAATCGTAGTCCTAACCATAATTATAACCCTAACCTGGGGTCATTCTCTATGCCTAACCACAGCACTATGTCCATGCTCACCACCGGCACCGCATCACACCATCAGATCCATCACGGTATCGGCGGGCCCTTTTCTGGCAACAGTAACAACACCTGCAACCTGCAAGAAGTGTGTGATGTCAATGCAAAGGAAATGCCCCATAGAGATAGCGGCGTCGATGCGTCTGGGGACGGGATGAAGAGTAGTGTGTACGGCGACGAGTCCGGTGTGGGTAATAGTTTAGACTTCTTAGATGAGTGGCGCGATTTGCTCGCAGCACCGTCGTGGGGTGGGCTGGATCTGGATAGCCTAGAGATACGGAACTTGTTGGCCAATGGAACGGTATGTGACAGTTATTTCATGGATTATATAAATAATAATTTAATACGGGTGCGTATGTATCTCAATACAAGATTTGTGTGTGTGTGTGTGTGTGTGTGTTGGTTGACGAGTTTGTCAACTATATTGGTTTATAGATTTCAGTGTATGTCTGCTGTTTGTATCCGAATCAGGCTTGTAGTTAATTTGATAGGCTCATCTGATTATGTAAACCCTCGTGATGTTATTAAGACTTCCACGCTTGAAGTGTATAGTATCCTTAAAGTGTATAGTATCGATACCGAAGAGGCTAGGGCTTCTTTTAGTATACATCAGTACACACATCTATCCGCAAGTACAAATACGGACGTTTGAGTGATAATCACCACTAAAAGTCGCTTTATCTGGATAATACCTCTTGCCGTCTGTTCCTGTGGATTTTCAATGAGTGCTTGTTTTGTCTGGGTATAATCCAGTTTGAGTTTGTTCGTTTCACTATAAAAGGCATGAAATTTATTTATCCCCGTATCCCAGAATACCTCTCAATTATTCCTATTTATACAAAATTTGTATGTGAGAGACGTATCTTCTCAATATTAGGTACGCCATCACAACCTATACATATGTGTCTGCATGTTGGCCAGGCAAAATTTTCGCAAACCATTGCGTTTGCATGTGTGGCAGCATCAAGACTAAGCTCTCACTTATATATATATATATATATTTATATTAATATTTATATTTATATGTTATTATA